TATATACAGGTAGGAGAGCGTGGGAGCCTAGCACGACAGTATGTGGAATGCAGATAAGCCCCTAGTAGGGCTGGAGGCGCCGAGAAAGGAAACAGAAAAGAATCACGTGTTCAACACTCCCCCTCGCTAAGATGTCCGAGACATTGCAAGCGTTTAAGTGCGCTTTGAGGCGCAACTAGCCTGCTGCTTTGGCTGGTAGGCATTCTGGAATCGTAAACCGTAAAATGGAAGGAACTTTGCGAATTTGACGCGACCCAAGTTCTTCATGAGCAAGTCGGCGGGATTATCTTCGCCGCTGATGTACGTGACATCTACGAGACCTCGCGAAATGACCTCACGGATATAATGATACCGGATGTCAATGTGCTTTGAGCGTTTCTCAGTGACTGGGTTGGACGCAATAAATACAGCGCCTTGGTTGTCACTTGAGATCTCGATTGCTCCAAGATCATAGCCAATCTCTCCGAAGAGCTGGTGAATCCATGCTACTTGACGCGAGCAATCACTCAACGCCATGTATTCAGCCTCTGTAGAGGAGTGCGCAACTGTTTTCTGCGCGCGTGAAACCCAGGAGAACGAAGCACGAGCGAGCAACAGGAAGTATCCAGTCTGCGATCGCCTGTGGCTTGGGTCAGAAGCCCAATCTGAGTCGGTCATCGCAAAGATGCCTTCACCCGATCTGCCGTCGAATACAAGACGGTAATCCTTAGTGCCAACTAAGTAGCGGCAAACATGGAGAGCTTTATTAAGGTGCTCGTCAGATGGGTTCGCAGCCTGTTGAGACAGCTTCGTGACGGCGAACGCAATATCAGGGCGTGTACCCAGCATGAGGTACATCAGCGACCCGATGACGGTCTGGAACCGGTGCCGTAGAACTTCATCTACTGGATCCTCGTTTGGTAACGGGTAATATCCAGAGGGAAGAGGAGTGGCGACGGGTCGAGCATTAGTGAGCCCAACACGATCAAGCACCTTCTCGAGGTAAGCAACTTGGTCTATCATGACCAC